TGGATATGTTGCTCCGGAAGATGCACCTTTGCTTGTTGAGGAACATATTGGTAAAGGCAATATTGTAGATCGCCTTTGGAGGTATAATTTTTGTTTTTGTTATTTCCTCTCTCTTCTTTGTGGACCCAAATTCATGGGACCAAGTATGAGACAAGGAACCATGTGTCATTTTCTTGCGATTTCATCAAATATCAATATTTAACAAAGTGTTCAAAAGCAAGTCCTTTTTCCTATCGTTAAAGTCCTATTAGTCTAGTCTTTCATGCAACAAAGCAAACACAATGCTGCACCAAACTGCTTGCACATCCATGGACACAAATCAGTCATTGAATAGAGCAAGAAGTTTACTACTTGAAGAACTTTGATGGAGAAAACATATGATGAAAACACTGCTTTGACCATCATGACTGTTTCTCCGTGGGTGGTTAAATTGACACATTTGTCCAAACATCTAGTTGCCCTAAAGCGAAGGGTAAATTTCACAAAGCCCCCCAAACTATTTGAGTGTTTCCTACAAAACAACCCCAAACTTTCTCCCCCAATAACCCTGTGAACATGAAACTACAAAAAGTCTCACCATAACCCCAATCCCCCCCCCCCCCCCCCCATAAAAAAAAAAAAAAAAAGAAACAAACTTCCCACGAAACTCCCCAAAAGGAAGAAGATGAGTTGCAGAGAATACAAGTATATATGGTACTTCAAATGCAGGAGACACTTTGTTTTGGAGGTTAATGGTAAAAAGTAAAAGTTTAGAGGGTTTCTGTGAGGCTTAGGGGGTTAAATGGAGAAAATTTTAGGGCTTAATTGGGAAAAACAAAGTATTGGTAGCTATTATGGAAAATACCTAACCAAGGAAGTTTAGTGAAATTTACCCTTTGCTTTACTTTTTTTTTTGCCCCCTTTGATTGTTAACTCACTAGTGCCACAGAGGAACTCCTTTTAGCTGAATTCAACATATGATGTTTTCTTATTACCATGGAGCTTATATTGCTTGATCCATTTCGTTGTGATATTTCATTTGAAGACTTCATCAGGAGTATTGCATGCTCAAGATACTGGCTGTCTTTCTTTCCTTTTTTAGTGATAATGAAAATGGAAGATTCTGGTTCTTTGTTTGTCTTAAGCACCCGCCTTCCCCTACGCTGCTTCTTCTCAGAAGAATATTTGCACTTTGGCATTGGGTATTTCATTAGAAGGATCTATGTTTTGGGATGTAGCTTCTTTATTGAATGTCGCACTTTGGCATTGGATATCAAATTAGAAGGCCCTATTATTGGAACGTAGCTTTTGTTTATAAGAATATTTGCACTTTGGCATTTAGTTCCAAACTGGAAGAATCTATGATTCGGGATGTAGCTTTTTTCAGAAGAATATTTGCACTCTGGCATTTGACATCACACTAAAATGGTCCATGTTTCGGATGGTCACCTTTCAGTCTTTCGTAAACAGGAAGTAGAGTATGTTTTTTGCGCCATAGGCTCATGTTTTAAATGTTTAGCAATTTTAAACATAGAGATAGAGACAATATAAATGTCTCAGTGACCATATTTATCCTCTTTCTAGACAATACTGTTTAGAATGTTCAATTGAGGTTTTCGGGGTTTAATTTGAATATTTCCTACATGAATAAGGAGCATGTAATTGAACAATGCACATAAATATCTTCAATTCAAGGCATCAGATCAGTTCAATCATTCTATCAGTAGGCTATCTATTATCAGTTTCTTATTATTTATTTTGCATATTTCTGATTTTTCACTTAAACATGCTACAATTCGGCCAAACAACATTTCAGGGGGCAGATGGGATTGTCACCAGAAGACCAGAGGAAAGCTCAGAACCTCAGGCTGACAACATTTCAGGGGGCAGATGGGATTGTCACCAGAAGACCAGAGGAAAGCTCAGAACCTCAGGCTGCAGTCTAATGATGAAGCCATCCAAGCAACCATCACCAGAAGACCAGAGGAAAGCTCAGAACCTCAGGCTGCAGTCTAATGATGAAGCCATCCAAGCAACCAAAACCCAAACAGACTCAAATCAATTGACAAAGGAATGATCGGGTTAACAAATGGGCAATAAATAGCCATAGCTTCCAGCTAAACAACTGCGAAGGGGTCTTGCTGAATAACTTACACCAACCAGCAAAGGGCTAACAACAGGCAGAAGAAAACCTTGCAATAAAGAGAGTACCCATAAATATTTACAAGATGCCGAACTTTTTGGTGGTACATTAGGATCATGACTAGTAATCTTTCAGTTCTTGTTGAGGTGCTTGAAATAAACACTACAACACCGTGGAAAATTTTTATTATCAATGTTGTTCGTAAAGAAAAGAATAACAAAGAGCAACCAATTCGTGTCTAGCTGCTTCACATGAGGTAACAGTATGTATGTGTGTATGTATTTATGTATATGTGGCTGTGCGCATAGCACGATCACTGATATTGTGTTCAGTGCTTCTGTATGAAACTTACATGCATAACTTGGAATTCATTAAGCATGTAGTTATCTTCCCTTGAGGTTTTCGTACCGTTTGTTGATTAAAAATTCAGCTTCTTATGATGTTGAAAGGGGTGAATGATTTATAATTGGGTTTCTGACCTCTTTGTTTTGATGTCCGAGAGAACTTTGGTTGAAATTATACTACCAGGATAATAAGTTTCAAAGCTCAATATTATATGGAAATAACTATTTTATTTATTTACTATTACTATTAATGCAGCTTGTTAGCGGCTTCTCGTTCTCATGGAGGTAAGAATGTAAAATAAATATAAATAATCTGATCTGAACGCCAATTCTGTTTAGTTTATTGACTATTATGCATATTACATTTGTCCACTGCAAGCGACATGTAAATGCGATTTGTGTTTGTGAATATTATGAGTATTTATATTCTTGTTTGTAAGATCGATATCACATTATTAAGGTATGTATATTTTTAGATAATTTAGATTTAGATATAGATTTTGAAACAGATTCACCAAAAATGTTGGTAAACTTCACTGTTCTCTGAGAAACAGTAAGCGTACTCCTTTTTCTCTCTGGAGAACTGGACTCTTCCCAGATTTATTTACACGGTTATTAGACACTCTTTAAGTTTCAAAAGGAGATACAAAGCCTTTTGTTTATACTCTTCTTTTGCTCCGAAGGTCGACAAGGATTGTGGAACTGGGTCCTTGATCATCTATCCTTAGCCCCTTTTCTTTTCCTTTTGCGAAGAAAAACTTCATGCGAGCTCACTCAGTTTTACAGTTGGCTGCATAGACAAAAATTTGAGGCTCTTTTTTACAAACTCACTTGGTTCAAACTCACCATTGTATTTTATATGTGCTTAGTATCTCCATGTTCGAGTTTATACAATATGTGCGTGCATGTGTATATCAATATGGGGATTGCATGTGATCATTGTGCCTCATTACACCGAGTTATCAAGAGATAGTATGCTTTTATGTAACTGGTGGATAGGCACTGTTGGCCTATCTTCTGATAGCTCAATTGGTAAATGAGCTAGTCACGTGATACTCATTTTATCCATATATGTTCGTGAATCACCATTAAACGATAGAAAATTGAGTATGAGAACTAGCCGCACAATCCATACACGAACGAAATTGACGTTTGAACAAGATATGTCACCACAAACATTCATGAGATCCAACCATTAAAAGTAAGAAATCGAACAGAAATTGCCGACACTTAGATATGAGCTGCTCTCATCTATGATTATAACTTGAATCTAATATGATATAATAAGACATCAACCTATACCTTAAGGCACCTTTTGGTTCCTAACACTAGTACAAATGCCAACAGCCCCAACGGTTGGTTGGAACCATTGGGACAACGTTCATCAGCCCCTACGGTTCCAACCGTTTGGGCTGTTATTTTCACATAGCGGGAGTT